ACAAGCTCAGCGAGTGGAGGAATTAAGGGTTATGAATTGTATACAATGATAGTTTCACACCGAGTCAAGCATGTGAACTACTCACACGTTCCAGTACATGGCGATGCATCGACGAATTCGGGTTGCAAATCAGTCAAGGGACACCAAATACGCGTACACAGTCGTGCTAGCACAGTAGATGCACATACGCCAGTGGTGAAGTTCTAGCTTCACCACTGACCAGTGTCAGGCAATTGCATCCGCAGGTGATGGTAGTTGTACGACTGTGAATCTTTCAGTCACGCTCAAAAAGGAAGTATAGCACATCGGGAAAGCTGGCATTCTCTATTCTGTATACAAATACACCGATATATTCACACACGTTCTCACGAAGCCCTGTGTCTCGTGCAAAACCGCGGTAGTCCTGTTTCTTCCTGCACCATGTGTGAGTGTCAGAAACGACCTCACACACAGATCACAAACACATTCTCTTGCTTACTATTGGCCATAGGCAACTCTGCAGTGTTCATCTGGCAAGATGCAGGTAGAAGGGTGCTCGGACACAACTAAAGGCAGAGCCGCAATTACCTTAGACGTCGACGCGGAGACCATTTACAAAGTCAGGATATTGAGTAGGTAAGTCCCAGAATCTAGAATACATATACCTACACGCACCGTATATTTGTATACCATAGGTGTATATACCTATTCAAGCCACGAAATAAGGGCAAGACTCATACGACGACTTGTCCTCGTATACGTTACCTAAGTGATGACTACTGAACCGGGCTGGTAGAGTCGTGCATCTCCATTTCTCTCCGGCATTTCGTGCCAATGTGCGTTTAACTCACATACCATTCCATGCCCACACAGCACACATCGCTATATGAGACGTACACCCCTCATTGTATGATCGATTGTATTCTGCAGCAAATTAAGAGAGTTGTCAGTCAGTGGGCTGAACGGGAACGACACCTACACGGTCTATGCCTGGCCCACAGACACGGAGCTTCTCGAGACCACTGTACACAAACGGTACGTTGTACTTGTTTGCCAGTGTTAGTTAGTTTTGAACTCCTCTGTATTTGTCTGAGTGGATTCTCAAGTGATGTTTTAGAATGCTAAGGAAATTTTAAGCAAGTCATTGATTGTGTGAATGTGTCATTTAGACCGTGGACAATGGTAGAGAGAGTCTCTGCGAATATATTTTATCAGCACGCTCGCATATACTTTACTACTGCCAAAGCTAACTTCGCTTGTGGAGCGTGAGCCTGAATTTTTATCCACCTACTCGTCTACCTATTCGTCTATCTATGCTTGAACAAGTGTTTGCTGCGGCAATTCTAAATGCCTGACTCGATATTAAACACAGTTATGTTTGTGCGCCGATCGATACGGAGATAATATGCATGCAAATACGATCTGTAATCATAGCTGCCACCCGTATGTGGCGCATAAACAACAGCCTTTCCAGTCGATATGTTGTAAGTATCAATTCTATACTCTTTTATTTGTAGATTCATGCCGGTTGACTGGAAGAAAAATCCCGATACTAGACTGGCATACTTTGCGAACCCCCCATTGGGCCAGTCCATGTTTAAAGAGCTTATGTTTATTGTTCATGGCACTGACGACGAGGTAAGCCGCAGCGTAATGCAACTCCTGCAACAAACGATTTGTGCTGTGTAGGGTCTCAGGATGTTTTGAACGATGCGTGGAATTGGTAGTATGCGATGTTTGCCACATACAGTCGCAGTACCTTAGTCGGTCTTTACCGAGATTGAAGCATATATTACTGTACGTGACACAGTGCAGGCTACCAATGTTGTGTCTTATTCGTATACACACGTCGTATATTCAATCTGACATAGGTGAGATGGGAAAGCATGTGGCAACTGAAAAATCTCGATATCTGACGTATTGGGAAAAAAAACTAGACACCCCGGTTACTACCGCATATACGTACGCGAGATATGCAGATATTTCAGATGATGTTTGGCATACATAACATATAGTGTACACAACCGCATGACTGATCATACACAGGTCACGGATAGCGCCAAATCTCGCAGTGCAAAGGCGGCGGAGAAGTTCTTCCAGAAACGGTGTCCGAAGGAAGCAACGCCGTTTGTAATCCTATCAGGGTCCACTGCATCTGAACCACACTTCAAAGCGCTCAACGCTGACGCGGCTGGGGATCTCCGTGCGGCTACCGTAAGTTCGACTGCACGCTTAGGTGTTTGCTTTCCGCCTGATTCCACGTAGTGTTGTAGTCAGGGAGTCGACGCTCACACTTCATGGCATACTTTGGCTGGCCTTTGCTTCGGGTTTCTGGTAGTAATTCTGGTGCTTGCGATCACTAATTCCGGATTCTCCATAGAAGTACATACTTCTGGAGCATGTTCTTACAAGGCACTATGATTTTGTACTAGTTTCAACCCACATGGTGCATCGAATCGTTCCTTTTGAAGAATACTACCCATCGCGACCAAATATTAAACTATGCCGACTTCACGGAGGTACTAATATTTAATTTTCTCGTATAAACAGAGTACCGTACGTCCATGCGCCAAGGATGGGGTGGTCAAGTCTCTACAAGACGTCTGTGATATCTTAACGAATAACCGTGTGTTCAGTGACGAACACCCGGAAACTTTAGATACAGGTCAGCACCAAATTTTGTATCGCGCGTATGCGAGTGTGAGTGTATGACTATGATTATTTTGCAGGGAGACCTGGTATGTGCGCATGCTCCAGTAACTATCTCAACACCCACTGCTGTTTGTTTTCATAACTACATATTTTCACAAAAGTCTATGACGCAGACTCATCACAGTTGGACCGACTAGCGCTACAAAAGGCTGGATCAGACTTGAACTATTTTTGGCCGCACACACACAAGAGCGCAGCGTGTAAAGAAATATAGCCCCGTAGGCGCATTTGCAATCGTATGCCCGGCAACCAATCAGATCAGTAGACGCACTCGCAATCGTTTGTGAAACCAATCCGATATGTTTTTAATTTGAGTGATTACAGGCATCCCTGACTCGAAACTAACCAAGGCCGACGCTGGCGTAGAAGGAATAGATGAGGTTGTGATTCCAGTCTTCGCACCAAAGGACGATGCTCTGGCCATGGCTGTGTTTGTGGCAGATGCCTTAAGCCTTGACTCGAGCGAGAAGGAAAAGGTACGTGCATACGGTATCGTTTGCTCTATATATTGATGTCCACCGAGTTTCAACTGCGTGTTTGAGGTTCTCACGGATTCACAATGTCTCGATTTAGTCGAGGAGCACGAGTGGGTCGATATGCTTGATATATATAGCATATGAATACCTGCAGGTTTCCAGTGCTCTATTGTATGTTCAATTTCCCTGCTCATTTTAGGCCCGCAGCAGCTTCAGCTGTAAGTGCTCTCTGGAGAGTATCACCTGGAGTGCAATTGTTAAGCATACCTGGCACCACTACTGATGATGATTGTGTCCTTCACAATACCCCCTTACAGCTTGTTAAATTAGAGCTGGGCGACTATGACTGCGTGATAGTCGGCAAAAATGGCGTTGAGGTGATCCAAGCGTAGGTAGACTCCTCGGCTAACGGTAGAGTGGCTTCATCCAGCTGTACCTGACTAGTACAAGGGTTGTCGGGACAACTCCCTGCATCGCACCACAGCATTCATGTAAAGATTCAGATATGACTCAGCGGCTCGATTAGTGTGGTCAACCGAGGTATAGATACCCTTGTATTGTCATTTGTGTATCTTTACTTGCATAGACACTATATGACAGTTTTCGCCCAGTTCGGTTGGTCTGAATCCCATTTAAATGGCGCAGTCCTAAAACGGCGGAAGAAAGGCGGTACAGCAACCGTTGGACTGTCTTCTGGCGCTCAACGCCAGTTAACAGGCCAATGACCTCGCCGAACGGTGTGTGTTGTACTGTCTGGGCTATGTATCAGGCTGTCAACTCCAATCGTCTCACTACTACAGCTCTAGTAGTCCAGGTCACTCCCTGCTATTTAACGGCGAATGGAATTAGCTTTGCGTGACTTGGGCGGCAATATGTATGTATGTACCTCCATAGCATCTTGAGACAGTGTGACTAAATATGAAATCCGACTTAAAATCCGACCCCAGTCATGACCTTCAAACCAAACAATACAGGGCTATGCCCCAGTGGAGTGAATACTCTTCTCTGTCCCGTCTTCCCCAGAGGCAGTATATCATACTATCTCAAGTTCTTAAGTTATCTTAACATAGCCGGGGCTAGGAGTCTATGACACAACATATAACATAGCCCCTTCTAACATATAAAACCATGAAAAGTAAAAAGCCTGAATCTGCTCCAGATCTATATTTACTCCAGTTTCTTTTTTGTTTTGTTTTTTAAACAAAAGGATACATATCTTGGATGTATTAATTAATGCAAAACAAAATATCCAAAAGTAAATATCAGTGTTGAGTGTTGATGGTATTTCCAGAATCTTTCTCCACAGCATATAAGTAGATCGTCTTTACCGATAGTAGCTTGTCCATCCAGTCAAGCCTGCAAACGTATTTAAATGGATTATATGCATACGGGACAATGTGTACTGTAATTCTACAACTGGAACGCTGTCATATGTCCGCCACTACAGCGAGCGCATGATCACAACAACAAATGGTGTCGAACCCGGCACATTTATAGCACACCTGCATAAAAATATACACACACACATACACACACACACACAACCACGACCACACACACACACACACACACACACACACACACACTACACACACACACACACA